ATGTACAGCGTACCTTTACTGGGATCTTGACTTCTTCACATGGCTTCAAGTTACTATCAGGTGTCCTTTTATTTCAGTCTATAGGACTCCTTTTAGCATTTCTTGTAGGGCAGATCTAGTGGTGGTGAATTCCCTCAGTTTTTGTTTAGCTGGGAATGTCTTTTGATTTCTCCTCAGTTTTGAAGGATTTCTCCTCAGTTTTGCCAGATATAGGATTTTTGGTTGACAGTGTTTTTCTTTTAGCACTTGGAATATATCAACCTACTGCCTTCAGTTCTCCAAAGTTTCTGATGAGAAATCTGCTGATAATCCCATTGAGGATTCCTTGTATTTGATGAGTCACTTCTCTTGTGCTGCTTCCCAGGTTCTCTTTGTCTTTCAACAGTTTGATTATAATTTTTTCTTGGTGTGGGTCTCTGAGTTCATTTTACTTAAAGTTCATTAAGCTTCTTGGATGTTTATATTTCATGTCTTTAGTCAAATTTGGAAAATTTTTTGCCATTATTTCTTCACATATTCTTTCTGCCCCTTTCTCTCTCTCTTCTTCTGGGACTTCCACAATGTGTATGTTGATCTGTTTGATGGTGTCTCACAGGTCCCTTAGGCTCTGTTCACTTCAATAATTTTTCTTTCTGTTCCTTAGACTTGATAATTTCAGTTGTCCTAGACTTTTTTAAAAAAAAATATTTAGGCTGTGCCAGGTCTTAGTTGCGGCATGCGGACTCTTAGTTGCGGCATGTGGGCTTCTTAGTTGTGGCATGTGAACTCTTAGTTGTGGCTTGCATGCAGAGTCTAGTTCCCCGACCAGGGATCAAACCCAGGCCCCCCGGCATTGAGAGCGCAGAGTCTTACCCACTGGACCACCAGGGAAGTTCCCTCAATTGTCCTAGCTTTGATTTCACTGATGGTTTCATCTACCTACTCAAATCTGCCTTTGAATCACTCTAGTGAATTTTTCACCTCAGTTATTGTACTTTTCAGCTTCAGAATTTCTTTCTGGTTTCTTTTTAAGTTTTCTGTCTCGTTGATATTCCCATTTTGTTCTCTGTGTCGTTTTCTTGACTTTTCTCCGCATCTTCCTTTAGTTCTTTGAGTATCTTTAAGACAGTTATTTATCTAGTAGAGCTGTCATCACATCTTTTTCAGGAACAGTTTGTTTGTTTGTTTTTGTCCCTTTAAATGAGTCATATTTTCCTATTTCTTTATATGTCTTGTATTTTTGTTGTTGAAAACCGGACATTTGAATCTAATGATGTGGTGACTCTGGAAATCAGAATCTCCCCTTCTCCCAGGGTTTGCTGTTTGTTTGTTTGTTTAGAGTGTTGTAGGCTGTCTCTGTGCCAAGAATCAGTCTGAGGTGTGGACTTAAAGTCTTCTCAGGTCTGTTTTAAGCCTTTGCCTTCCCCTGGGTATGCATGATGACTGTCTAACTTCCTCTGAATATGTGGTTGCTTTTGAATCCAATAGTCCTCAATATCTGGCTCCCAAAAGGAGAAAAAGAGAAAAACGAAGGGATGAGGGGGGAGAAGCACTGGTGCTTTAAATCCCCTTGAAGTCACTTCAGCCAGAGGGGGAGTGCAACAGCAGGGGGAGGTGTAACAACAGTGTCCGCCGCCTCTTTGCACCTCTGAGATCAGAAGCAGTGCGATCAGCCCTGATCAGAGCAGATCCCTGATATTTGGAGGACAGCGTCCTCATTGCCCACCCTGGCTCCCACAGGCTGTGTGCGCAAGCCGCTCCAGGAACACACGCAAGGCTGCCTGCACAGGGATGGGCACTGGGTAGCTGCGATTGTGCTAAGGGCTGAAATTCACCAAAATTTATCCAAACATTCCTCTGCACATTTGCAAGTCCTCAGTAGACTCCAGGAGTTCTAGAACAGTTACATCAGACAGATGCTGCCAGTGCATTTGTTGTCTGTGTGGGGAGACAGATTTCTGGTGCTTCCTACTCTGCTACCTTCCCAGAATACTCCGCGTAAATTAAATTAAAAAAAAAAAGATTTTGTTTGAAGAGTTTGAAAACTAATGAGATAATCTTAACCCCTCAGACTACCATTGTTTTGTGCACACAGGTGCACATGCACACAAAACACCCTCGAGGGAGCATTGTCACCCAGCTCCAAAGCCTCTTCTGAAGCAGATCCTTCATGGTGTAGGGCAGGCAGCCTGCACAGAGCAGTGGGCTGGAGAGAGCCAACCCCAAGAATGCTCCAGATCTGAGGCTATTCCCAGCACAGACAGCTCACAGAAGGATATCAGGATAGTCACTTTCCCCTTCCTGGGGCTTGAGTTACTCATTGAAAGAGTGTGGGAGTTGGACTAGGTCAGTGTTTCTTCAGTGAAACCACAGAACAAACTTTCTTACATAGAATGCTGATAATAATTATTTCAGTGAAAAAAAAATTATCAGATCAAGAAAACTCCCAGATTCAGCAATGTATAAAGTGAAAATAAAATAGAGTAACTAAATGAACTATTACAGAAGTTTTAGAACACTGGTCCAGTTTTTAGTGAATTACAGGAAATCTATGAAAGCACAGAGATGTAGAAAGCAGAGACAGCATAAGTCAAGTTAACCTTTTACCATAACTCATTGATTTGCCGTGGAAATGGAAGGTGGATATAATCTGGAAATTTGTAGGCAATTCTCTTTTCCTGATCTGGGCCTCAGTTTCCTCATCTGTAAAACTGGGCCTGAAGTAATACTTTTTTTAAAATTTTATTTATTTATCTATTTTTATATTGAATTTTTGGCTGAGTTGGGTCTTCGTTGCTGCGCGCTGGGTTTCTCTAGTTACGGTGAGCGGGGGCTACTCTTTGTTGCAGTGCGCGGGCTTCTCATTGCGGTGGCTTCTCTTGTTGCGGAGCATGGGCTCTAGGCACGTGGGCTTCAGTAGTTGTGGCACGTGGGCTCAGTAGTTGTGGCTTTCGGGCTCTAGAGCGCACGCTCAGTAGATGTGGCACATGGGCTCCGCGGCATGTGGGATCTTCCCAGGCCAGGGCTCGAAACCGTGTCCCCTGCATTGGCAGGCGGATTCTTAACCACTGCGCCACCAGGGAAGCCCTGAAGTAATTCTTTAAGAAGACTTTTCAGTTACTCTGGAATAAATTTTTCGTTCTGTGATCACAGGGAATTAAACTGACGGAGGTGGTGAGGGGGTTGTTGGAGGGTGGGGGAGTGGGTGTGGTGTGGCGGCCGGGCTTGTTTTCAGACTCCCCTGTTCTGTTCTACTCCTACCACATGCAGTTCCTCAGAGTGTGACAGGCCAGGGTGGGACAAGAAGCAGCTGCATTCTTGGTTGGATTAAAGGGTGCAGGTGAATCTCCATGACCTGGAGGGAGGGTTGCTTCCATTGTTTCCCAAAGATGGTTTTAGGAAGTACAAAGACAAACATTTTTAAATTTTTTTGTATATTCTTTAGTATTTTAAAAATGTGTAGCTAGCACATCATACCTATTATTTTAGAGATGTTAACTGCTTAGGATGTGGCTCCACTTTAAAAAATGGAAAACGTTAAGTGCCATTTCATTATGGTGGAAGTATGATGGGGAGGGGAGTGATAAGAATGACTATATGAGAAGCCTTGGCCTGTGGGATAGGCCCTTCGAGGTGGCACCTCAGCAGTATGGCTGTGACACACCTTATCCTTGCAGTGGGCATTGTAGAGGGCAGAGAGGGAGCTTAGCATTCCTGTTGAAAGAGGAGACTGAGGCCCAGAGGGGAGATGGTCCCCCAAGACACTGCTGGGAAATGGTGTGGAGTGGACCAGTGCTAGACTCTTCCTCCTCTGATGTCCCACAGGGTATCCACATCCCTTCTGAGCATCCCAGACAGAAGGCTCAGAGCCCAGCTCTGGAGTGTCTTGTCCTAGAGGTTTTTTGTTTTTTTTTTTTGGTGGGGGGGACGGTGTGCTGAGCAGCATGCAGGATCTTAGTTCCCCCACCAGGGATCGAACCTGTGCCCCCAACCCCTGCATTGGGAGCGCGGAGTCTGAACCACTGCACCACCAGGGAAGTCCCCTAGAAGATTTCTTCTAGCTGGTGCCCAGCAGCTCTCTACTGGGCCCCTCGGCTGCTGGAACCCTGGTGTGGGGCTCTCTGGTCGCTCCAGCAGGTGGGGTTAGGGTATGCACAGCGATTCTAGCCCCTCTACTCTTTGTGCACCTGCTTCTTGGAGGGCATACTGTCTCTTCTTCCGTTTGTTTGAGCAGAGGGTTCACTTTGTTTTGTTTTTTCCCCAAATGGGACTAGCTTTATTGCTTACTATAAAAATTGAAAATTGTTCATATAAAAGAATACATAAGCAATATAAAGAATCAAATACGTCTCTGTATGCATGTATAGGATAAGATAAATTACTTAAACCCTACTATCCAGGGATAATCACTTAACTGTCTAGATTTTTTTCTCTCTGTTTATATACCTAGTTGATATCAATTTCCATATGATTTTATAAAAACGAAATTGTGTAGCTCATCTGTTACATGCTTTTTTCCCCCCAACAATAAATGTGTTATGGACGTCTTAACATATCAGTAGAGATCCTTGTCTTCAGTTTTCATGGCTGCAGACTATTGTCTTTTGTGGGTAGCCTTGACGTGATTTATTTAATCCTCTTTAATGGAAGTTTTGGTGGCATCCAGTATTTGGCCCTGTTAATGTTGTGATAAATATCCTTGCATGCTCATCCAAGCATTTGCTTTTCTGGATAATACTGTATATTTTTAGATACAGAACTGTGGGTCAAACATTAAGTACATTTAAATTTTTAATGCATGTTTTAAACTGCCTCCTGGAAAAGTGGGAATGATTCAGTCCAACAGTCCTGGCTGGTAGGATGGTTGTTGAATGACTACAGGTAGCTGCGGGCTTTCTTTGGGTCCCTTAGACTGTGCAGTCCCCCAGCCCCGATTATTTCCTGGGCATTTGTGGGTGGACAGCCCTGCCTGTCTTCTACTCCAAATGACAGGAGGCCTGCTTCTCCCATCCATCCCCCAGAATGCTGTTCGTGTTCCACGGGACTTTGAGGGCTGCAGTGTCCTCCGCAAGTACCTGGGCCAGCTCCACTACCTGCAGAGTCGGGTCCCCATGGGCTCAGGCCAGGAGGCTGCTGTTTCTGTCACCTGGTGAGAGCTGGCAGGGCTGGGGGGAGCCTGGAGGTTGCCTGGGACAGCCCAGGGGTGTCTGGGCGGTGGGGATGCCCCTCTTCCCCCGCCCCCCGCTTTCTTTTCCTTGCTACACAGCATGGGGAGTGGCTTGGTGTGGTCTCCCCAGGCCTCCCTCCCATCCGACACCGCACTGGGGGTGGCGGGTCGCTTCACCAGCTCCTTCACTCGAAATGACTGGGGTGGCCTGTCCACAGGACTGAGATCTTCTCAGGCAAGTCTGTGGCCCATGAAGACATCAAGTATGAGCAGGCCTGCATTCTCTACAACCTTGGTGAGCTACCTAACCCCTTCCCCATGGCCCTACCTCCCAGCCCTGCCCACCCCATCTCAGCTCAGCAGGAGGCCACAAGGGCAGTGGGCTGATGGAAGGAAGACACCTAGATTCTGACCCTCCCCCTGCCTTCCCACAGCTCTGCTGGTGCCTCTTTTCTGGCCCACAGGGAGCCAGCCTGCTGGGGAGAGGCTCTACTAGGCTGGCTGCCACATGGTGTTGCTAGGGTGCTCCGGCCCAGAGGGGTGGCCTCTCTTTTCTGACTGGACAGATCCCAGCCCCCCTTGTGGCTTGGGCTGCTTCCAGCAGGAAGAGAACAAGGCTGGCCTAGACTGGCCTTGCCGTCAACCCTGATGGCTCAGCCTCAGTCTGGGGAGCCCCGAGTCCTGTGTAGGCAATCCCTGAGGCTCTGAGACTGGACTCGTAGGCTGAGGGCTGTGGATGGCAGGAGCCCCTTCCCTTCCACCCCATCCCTGCCTGGTGCAGAGCCAGAGACCGAGACCCCATTTACTCCAGCTTTGGTGTCCTTGGACCAACTGCCCCAGACCCCTGTTGTCCTGATCATGGGTGACACCAGCAGCCCCAGGCTAGCCCTGACCCCGTGTTCTGTGCCTCCCTAGGGGCGCTGCACTCCATGCTGGGGGCCATGGACAAGCGCATGTCTGAGGAGGTGAGGAGGGTAGGGGCAGTGGGTGGGTCGTAGGACAGAACCAGGGAGGGGTGCTGAGTGTTGTCAGCCTCCAGGGTGTGAATCCTGCCCCGTGGAGTGGACACAGGCAGCTCTGTGGCTCTGCTTCTGGCATCCTCCCCTGTTCTCTCCCAGGGCATGAAGGTCTCCTGCACTCACTTCCAGTGCGCAGCAGGTGCCTTTGCCTACCTGCGTGAGCACTTCCCTCATGCCTACAGCGTTGACATGAGCCGGCAGATCCTCACTCTCAATGTCAACCTCATGCTGGTGAGGAGACGCCCTTGTTGGGGCTGAGTTGAATCCAGGGCCGGGCACGGTTAGGGCTGGATCCTAGAGGTCCTGTGCACATGGCAGTGAGGGACGAGCAGAGGCCTGGGCTTTGATCTTTTGAGCCCCAGGTGGATCAGGAGCAGGGCTGTGCTGCTTGGAGTGCGGGAGGCTGGGCGGAGAGGGCATCCGTGTGGTCTGTGCCGGTGAGGAATGGAGTGCATCTCCATCTGCTCTTCCAGGGCCAGGCTCAGGAGTGCCTTCTGGAGAAGTCCATGTTGGACAACAGGAAGAGCTTTCTGGTGGCTCGCATCAGTGCACAGGTAGGGACAGGGATCGACGGTGGCCCACAAGGGACTGATGCCAGGCTTTTGGTTTACTCCCGGTCCCCAACTATAGCCCTGTCCTGGCTTCTAGGTGGTGGATTACTACAAGGAGGCGTGCCGGGCCTTGGAGAACCCCGATACCGCCTCACTGCTGGGCCGGATCCAGAAGGACTGGAAGAAGCTGGTACAGATGAAGATCTACTACTTTGCGGCTGTGGCTCATGTGAGGGCACCGTGGCCACCAGGGCTGGGCTGGGCTGAGTTGCCGTAGCTCAGGAAGTAAGTAGTGACATCTCTTCTTTCCCAGTTGCACATGGGGAAGCAGGCTGAGGAGCAGCAGAAGTTCGGAGAGCGGGTGAGTGAGCCGTGGCGAGGAGGGGACTCTGGACTGGTCCCAGCCTTGTTAGTCAGATCCTCGTGGGGACCCTTCTTCTGTCTCTCACCCCCACATCCCTGGCTGCCCCCCGCCCCCCCCACCACTGTAGACCTGGTGTTCGTCATGCGTTGTCCCATCTGTGCAGCCTTCATCCACAGGGGACGGAGGAGGCGCGCAGCAGGCTCCCCTCAGGGGATGGTTGGTGGGAGATGTAGGCTGTGGGGTGGAGCCAGAAGGTAGATGCTAAGCGTGGTGCTGTTGGCTGGGCTGGCGCGTGGCTACCTCCTCAGCTCCTTGTCTTCTGATGGGTCACCTGATGGCCAGACAGGCTCGGTGGGGGTTGGGGTGGCAGAAGGAGTAGGGTCCAAGCAGGGAAGGACGGACTGGTCTCTGTCCCCCGCAGGTTGCATACTTCCAGAGTGCCCTGGACAAGCTCAATGAAGCCATCAAGCTGGCCAAGGTAAAGATGAGGAAGAGCCTGGCTGCCCCTCGGAGCCTGGGAAGACAAGGAGCAAGCCTGCTGGGGCTGAGGGGTGTCCTGGCACTGGCTGTGGTTGGCACTGAGCACCCCCATCCCTATCCTACAGGGCCAGCCTGACACTGTGCAAGATGCACTTCGCTTCACTATGGACGTCATTGGGGGAAAGTGAGTTTCTGGGGTTCGGGGTGGCCCTGGTTCCTTCTTGTTAGGAAGGGTCTTGGCCTTTCGCCTGCATCGTTGGGAGGAAGCCACCAGGGCCAGAGAGTAGTGGCCCATGTGGGAGGCTAGGTCCTGGATCCCTGCTGATCACTCAAGACTCCCCATTCCTCCTTCTCCTGACCCCCAGATACAATTCTGCCAAGAAGGACAATGATTTCATCTACCACGAGGCTGTCCCAGCACTGGACACCCTTCAGCCTGTAAAAGGTCTGAAGCTGAGGGGAAGCCGAGGATCGGGGTAGGGGATGAAGATGGGACAGAAGAGAGGCAGTCGAGGTTCGAGTGGGCCTGGTCTCCACGATTCTTCCTCACCCCTCCCAGGTGCCCCCTTGGTGAAGCCCTTACCAGTGAACCCCACAGACCCAGCTGTTACGGGCCCTGACATCTTCACCAAACTGGTACCCATGGCTGCCCATGAAGCCTCGTCGCTGTACAGGTGGGCAGGATAGGCAGGCCCTATTAGCCCAGGGCGGGTTGGAATATCTCAACAGACGTGGGCTTCCAGCAAATTGCTGTCACTTCTCCTGCAGTGAGGAGAAGGCCAAGCTGCTTCGGGAGATGATGGCCAAGATTGAGGACAAGAATGAGGTCCTGGAGTGAGTGCAGGGCTTCGGTGGGAGGCATGGAGGGTACACACCAGACCTCTGTGGGGTCCCCAGTGCTGCCTGCGACAGGGAGAGGAGTAAATGAAAGGTCTGTTGGCACCAGCAGGCCTCCTGGCTGCGCCCTTCCTGCCCAGGGTCTTGTATGCTAGATTTGTAAGTTGAGAGTCATGCATCTTGAGAGGAGGATGTCCCACTGTTTTCAGCAGTGCCCTGGGCATGTTCTGTGGGGGCAGTTGGGATGCTGATTTGTTGTCTCCTAGGACCTCAGACCTTGCTTCAGTGGTGGGAGCTTGCCCTAGTGGGCTGCTTGTGTAGCTGAGGGGTTGAGCCAGCACCCACCTGGTCCCGTTGCCCCTCAACAGCCAGTTCATGGATTCAATGCAGCTGGATCCTGAGACAGTGGACAACCTTGATGCCTACAGCCACATCCCACCCCAGCTCATGGAGAAGTGTGCGGCTCTCAGCGTCCGGCCCGACACTGTCAGGAACCTCGTCCAGTCCATGCAAGGTGAGCGAGGAGGAAAAGCAAGCAGGTGGAGGGCGGGAACGTGGGAGTCATCTGCTGCGGCCTTCTCTGTGTCCCTTGTTGACCGAGGATAGAGGTTTTCACCTCTCCCAGCACCTGTCAGAGCACCCGCTGCACACTTCAGTGAACTACCGCACCGTGTGCCCTCTGTCTGCCCTGCTCAGCCAGCACTGGGCTGCACACAAGCCTGACTGAGGGGGCGGTTCTGTCTCCTGGGGGATGGGCCAGATTGGATGCCTGGTCTGCCTGCCACAGGAGCTGACCCCGCCTCCTCTAAACATGCCCCCAGTGCTGTCAGGTGTGTTCACGGATGTGGAGGCCTCCCTGAAGGACATCAGGGACCTGCTGGAGGAGGATGAACTGCTAGAGCAGAAGATGCAGGAGGCAGTGAGTCAGGCAGGGGCCAGCACGGCTGTCTCCAAGGCCGAGCTGGCAGAGGTGAGGCGAGAATGGGCCAAGTACATGGAGGTCCATGAGAAGGCCTCCTTCACCAACAGCGAGCTGCACCGTGCCATGAATCTGCATGTTGGCAACCTGCGCCTGCTCAGTGGGCCTCTGGACCAGGTCCGGGCTGCCCTGCCCACGCCAGCCCTCACCCCAGGTGAGCCCCCTTCCTGTCCCCATGGAGAGAGGCTTGGCGCTGGGGTTTTCTCTGGCCTCACTGACCACTGCCGCTCCCAGAGGACAAGGCAGTGCTGCAGAACCTGAAGCGCATCCTGGCCAAGGTGCAGGAGATGCGGGACCAGCGTGTGTCCCTGGAGCAGCAGCTGCGTGAGCTTATCCAGAAGGATGACATCACGGCGTCACTGGTTACCACAGACCACTCAGAGATAAAGGTGGGGCTGGGTGAGCAGTATGCAGGGGCTGACTCTAGGCTCCACCCTTAGGTGGTGAGGCCCTGAGTGTCTGTCCTCCACCCCCCAACACACTCCCTTAGAAGCTGTTTGAGGAGCAGCTGAAGAAGTATGATCAGCTGAGGGTGTACCTGGAGCAGAACCTGGCCGCCCAGGACAACATTCTCCGGGCACTGACAGAGGCCAACGTGCAGTACGCATCTGTGCGGCGGGTGCTCAGTGAACTGGACCAAAAGTCAGTGTCTGGCCCTGTGCCTCTACCCAGTCCTGCCCAGAGCTGGGCTCCAGTTACTCACCTCCTGCCGGCCCTTCTGCCCGCCAGGTGGAACTCCACACTGCAGACCCTGGTGGCCTCCTATGAAGCCTATGAGGACCTGATGAAGAAGTCCCAGGAGGGCAAGGACTTCTATGCAGACCTGGAGAGCAAGGTGGCTGCTCTCCTCGAACGGGCACAGTCCACCTGCCAGGCCCGCGAGGCAGCCCGGCAGCAGCTCCTGGACAGGTGAGTGTGGCCCCGGGGCCGGGGTGCGGCTGCAGCCGAGACCAAGGTCGGGCTGAGGGGATGGTGTGGCTCCGCTTCTTCCCTACCTCGTCCTACAGGGAGCTGAAGAAGAAGCCGCCACCACGGCCCACGGCCCCAAAGCCGCTGCTGCCCCGCAGGGAGGAGGGCGAGGCAGTGGAGGCCGGGGACCTGCCTGAGGAGCTGCGCAGCCTGCCCCCCGACACCTTCCTGGGGGCTGCTGTCCCACTCCGCTTCCCGCCCGGCCCCTTCCCCAGCTCTGCAGGCCCAGGACCCCACTATCTCTCAGGCACCTTACCGCCGGGTACCTACTCGGGCCCCGCCCAGATGTTGCAGCCCAGGGGCCCCCAGGCCCTAGGGCACCCTGTGGTGGCCATGGCACCTGGACCTGCTCTCTACACAGCCGGGGCCTACACACCAGAGCTGGGCCTCGTGCCGCGATCCTCGCCACAGCATGGCATGGTGAGCAGTCCCTATGGTGGGGTGGGGCCCGGGCCCACCCCACCAGCTGCAGGCCTGCCCTCAGCCCCACCTCCCCAGTTCTCGGGCCCTGAGTTGGCCGTGGGGATTCGGCCAGCCACCACCACAGTAGATAGCGTCCAGGCCCCCATCTCCAGCCACACGGCACCACGGCCAAACCCTGCCCCTGCTCCTCCCCGGCCCCGCTTTCCGGGGCCACCCCCCCAGCCACTGCCCGTGCCCTACACCTACCCGATGGGGGCCAAGCCACCCCTCGCAGCTCCCCCAGCCCAGCACCACTTTTCTCCTGGGATGCCCACAGGTTTTTCAGCCCCGAGGACTGGGCCCCAGCCTCATCCCACACGAGCAGTGTTTGGGCCCCAGCCTCCCCAGCAGCCCCTTCCACTCCAGCATCCGCACCTCTTCCCACCCCAGCCTTCAGGACTGGTACCCCCACAGACCCCCTATCCCTTTGCTCCTCAGCCTGGTGTCCTGGGGCAGCCACCGCCCACCCTGCATACCCAGCTCTACCCAGGCCCCTCTCAGGACCCTCTGCCCCCCCACTCAGGGGTTCTGCCTTTCCCCAGCCCTGGGCCCCCTCAGCCTCCCCATCCCACCCTGGCATATGGTCCTGCCCCTTCCCCCAGACCCCTGGGCCCCCAGGCACCCGCACTCTCCATTCGAGGCCCTCCGCCTGCCAGCCAGCCCGCCCCCACTCCCCACCTGGTGCCTTCGCCTGCCCCATCACCGGGGCCCGGCCCCGTCCCTCCTCGGCCCCCTGCAGCAGAGCCAGCCGTGTGTCTGCGCCGAGGCGCTGCGAGTGCAGATCTGCTCTCCTCCAGCCCTGAGAGTCAGCATGGAGGCGCTCAGCCTCCTGGGGGTGGGCAGCCCCTGCTGCAGCCTACTAAGGTGGATGCGGCTGAGGGCCGGCGGCCACAGGCCCTGCGGCTGATCGAGCAGGACCCCTATGAGCACCCGGAGAGGCTGCAGCAGTTGCAGCAGGAGCTGGAGGCCTTTCGGGGCCAGCTGGGCGATGCAGGGGCTCTGGACGCTATCTGGCGGGAGCTACAAGACGCACAGGAGCACGATGCCCGTGGCCGTTCCATCGCCATCGCCCGCTGTTACTCACTGAAGAACCGGCACCAGGATGTCATGCCCTACGACAGCAACCGTGTGGTGCTGCGCTCAGGCAAGGACGACTACATCAACGCCAGCCGCGTGGAGGGGCTCTCACCGTACTGCCCACCTTTGGTGGCCACCCAGGCCCCCCTGCCTGGCACAGCTGCCGACTTCTGGCTCATGGTGCATGAGCAGAAAGTGTCAGTCATTGTCATGCTCGTGTCCGAGGCCGAGATGGAAAAGGTGAGAGGGAGAGGTTGGGTGGGTGCCCAGAAGGGAAACTGGAAAACCAGCCCTAACTGCCCTGTTTGTCCTTCAGCAAAAGGTGGCTCGCTACTTCCCTACCGAGAGGGGCCAGCCCATGGTGCACGGTGCCCTGAGCTTGGCCCTGAGCAGTGTTCGCACCACCGAGACCCATGTGGAGCGGGTGCTGAGCCTGCAGTTCCGGGACCAGAGCCTCAAGCGCTCGCTCGTGCACCTCCACTTCCCCACATGGCCAGAGTTGTGCGTCTGCTGCCCTGGGCGGTGGTTGGGGGGCTGGGAGGGTGGTGCGGCCTTGGAGCAGGTCTGACTCAGAGACGCCACCCCACCCTGCAGAGGCCTGCCGGACAGCCCCAGCAATCTGCTGCACTTCATCCAGGAGGTGCACGCTCATTACCTGCATCAGCGCCCCCTGCACACGCCTGTCGTCGTCCACTGCAGGTAGGTGTGGGTAGCTCCCGAGCGGCCCTCCTCTGGGGGCTCCTGGGCTGGCCTCACAGCCCCTTCCTGCCGCAGCTCCGGGGTGGGCCGCACAGGAGCCTTCGCGCTGCTCTACGCGGCTGTGCAGGAGGTGGAGGCTGGAAGTGGGATCCCTGAGCTGCCTCAGCTGGTGCGGCGCATGCGGCAGCAGAGGAAACACATGCTGCAGGAGAAGGTGAGGGCCCAGGCGGGAGCTGGGATGGGCCCTCCATCCTGGGTGACGGGCCCTGCCCGGCTGACCAGGCCCAATGCGCCCCTGCAGCTGCATCTCAGGTTCTGCCATGAGGCGGTGGTGAAACACGTGGAGCAGGTCCTGCAGCGCCACGGCATGCCCCTTCCGTGCAAGCCCTCGGCTGGCACCAGTGTTACACAGAAGGTGAGGGAGGGAGCCCCTGGGGGCTGCTGGGACTGACACTGCCTCGTGGACTCCATCTTCACCCACTCTTGTCTCCTCAGAATCACCTTCCTCAGGACTCCCAGGACCTGGTTCTCGGTGGGGATGTGCCCATCAGCTCCATCCAGGCCACTATCGCCAAGCTCAGCATCCGGCCTCCCGGGGGCTTGGATTTCCCGGCTGCCGGCCTGCCAGGCCCTGTAGAGCCCCCAGGCCTGCCACCACCCAGCCTCCCAGAGTCCACCCAGCTCCCATCCTCCTCCCCACCCCCTCTCTCTTCACCCCTGCCTGAGGCCCCTCCGCCTGAGGAGGAGCAGCCGGTACCTGAGGTCCCCAGCCTGGGGCCCCCGTCCTCCTCCCTGGAGCTGCTGGCCTCCCTAACTCCTGAGGCCTTCTCTCTGGACAGCTCCTTGAGGGGAAAGCAGCGGATGAGCAAGCAGAACTTTCTGCAGGCCCATAACGGGCAGGGTCTGCGGGCTGCCCGGCCCACTGATGACCCCCTCAGCCTTCTGGATCCACTCTGGACACTCAACAAGACCTGAACAGGGTTTGCCTGCCTTGCACTACGTTGTCTCCCATGCCAGTCTGCCCCTCTTGAGGTGGGGCCTAGTCTTACTCCCATTCCTGCTGCCTTCAGCCCTGCCTGGCCCAGCCCACAGCTCTACAGGGTAGAGATGCATCACGGGTCTTGGGTCAGGTTCTGCTCCTTTGTGGGACCTGACATTTTCAGCTCTTTGCTGTTGAATAAACAAACCTGTTCTGTGGCCAGTGTCTGCTCAGCGCTGCTCCCCGGGAGGTGGGGGGCTGGGCCCCAGCAGCACCACCTTTAGCGAGCGTGGAGGTGGAGGGGGTCACCTTGGTTTCCACACCTCTGAAGTGGTGAGGCAAGATGGCCTCTAGAGCTGGCTTGCTGAACTTCCCCAGCCTGTAAACTCTTCCTCTGACCTGTATGGCTTCTGGCAGGAGCTGCTCTGAGCTGAGAAAGGTCTAACCAAGTGCTGCACTTTAGGCACCGGGAGGGTGTAAATGATGCCAGAGCTCATCCAGGGGAAGACGCAAGTGGCTCACAAAGCCCCTGGCTGATGTGATTTTTAAAAAAAAGTTTAATATTACAGTCATGAGGCAGGACAGGACAGTTCAGAGGCAGCTTCCCAAAGATTCAGCTCTTTCCCCAGTCCAGGTCCAGCACATTGCCCCACAGAGCACCCCAGCCAGACGGGCAGGGAGGCCCACCCTCAGTCCAGCTTCTCCAGCACAGAGGGCACGTATACTAGGCTGAGCTCGCTGCCAAAGTTGCAGACAATGGCAGCATTGTCCAGCACCAGGATCTGGCGGGCCGGCTGGGCCTCACTGTTCTTCCCCAGGTAGACTGTCTGTAACAGGTCCCCGTAGTTTAGGTCCCAAAAGGAAACACAGCCCTGGCCGCCGGTCACCAGCAGGTTGTCTGAGATGACACCCAAGCTTGCACCACAGCCCAGGTCCTGGAGGCAAGGACAGGACAGGCTCGGTGTCTTGAATCCTTCCCTAAAATACCGAGAATCCCGTGGCCCCCAACATGCCTACCTGCTGAATGGAGTAGAGCCTGATGCCTGTGCTGCGGTCCCAGATGCTGATGAGGTCATCTAGGCCACTGCTGATGACACAGGAGGTGGTACAGGTGAGGGAGGTGACATCCCCACGGTGAGCGAACATGTGGCTGACCCGGCTGCCCGTCAGCACATCCCACAGGCAGATGGCCCCATCTTGTCCTCCACTGGCCAGCACCATGGTCTAAGGGAACAGGCACAGGAGAGCTGGTCACTGTGGTGAAACACCTCTGTCCACAAGGGTGGCTTAGTGCCCTGGTGGGTGGGAGCCCTCACTCTGCTTCACAGAGGCCCTTGGGGACCAGCTCCCAGGAGTTAGAAACAAGGGCTATGGGCCTGGCTTGGTACCCCGCACCCCACCCACGGCCCTCACCTGGTCAATGTACACAGTCGTGATGGCCCCTGAGTGGCCTTGCAGGGTGAAGAGGCAGCATGAGTCCTCCAGACGATACACCTGGGGCAGGAACAGGTATCAGATTCTGGTGTCTCTGGGATTTTCCAAATCATACTTTGGCCAGGAATTCCCTTCCACAGTTCATCCAGGACACCTCCAGCCACTCCCTGACTGACCCCATGTGCTCCCCACCCCCTGTGTTGGGCCACCCCAGTGCCCAAGAGATGGTGCCAACACTTACTCTCAGTGTGTGGTCCTGGCTCCCAGTCACGAGGCGCCCGGCAGCTGCCTTCAGGGCTGTGATGGGCTTCTGGTGTGCACAGGGCACCGTGTGGGTCAGGTGACAAGCCACTGCATCACTGCTGCTGTACATAGGGGATGTGGGGGAACTGCCCCGCCCCGGGGCCCCTGGGGATAACAGGCCAAGTGAGGGATCTCCGAGAAGACACCCTGCAGGCAGCCCCTCTGCTCCACCCACCAGGTGCAGGCGCCAGCCCAGCCCAGGTCCCCTGACCTCGGAACTGCAGGGGGCTGAGGGCAGTGTGAGTCTCCAAGGAGAAGAAATCAAGGGAACCGTTGAGCCGGGCAGCCACAATCCTGGAAGAGAAGAGCGGCTGTCAGGTGGCTCTCCCTCAGAGCCCCCAGCTTTGGGGCTGAGCACCGCGGGCCCTTGACAGGCCCATCCCACTGGTTCTGGGAACAGTGGAGCCATGAGGGACCGTGGCCAAGAGGGAAGCACAGGTGCTGGGGACCAGGTTGCAACTCCAATTATTAACCTCTGTGCCTCAGAGTCTTCATCTGTGAAATGGGAACAACTGTACCCACCTCACAGCGTGGTCATGAGGAGTAAATGAGCTAGTATGTGTAAAGTGGTACCTGGGGAACATCATGTAAGACTGGAAATTAAAAACAAACAAGGGGTATAGGCAGTCCCCCTCCACAGCCTGGAGCTAAAGGAAAGGCTTCAGGGGAAGAGAAGTAGGACATAAGGTGGGGCCTATGTTTTACAGCCACAGAAGGTGTTGCTGTCTCCATCACAGAAAAGCAGCTTCGACCCCAGCACCACCTGCTCCATTTCTTTTTTCCACAAAGATTATTCTCCACTGCCCCTGATTCCTAGGCACAGGATGATGGGCAGAGATGGAGACATTTGCCCTGTGGCCCCAAAGCTTTGAAGTGAGTGGGGTTCAAAATCTTACTCCAGCAAAGGGCAATGCACATCTTCACCTCTGCCCATAATCTGAAGGATCTATGGCAGAGATGGGGAAGGCACAGCACAGGGGTGGAGGGAGAGACCATGGAACTTTGGGGGTTGAGCTGAGACATGTGGGCTTTCCCTAAAATTCAAAAAAAAAAAAAAAAAAAAAAACACAGCAGGGGAGAATTTCCAAGCGTGGAGAACCCAGTGAACTTGGCCAGACTGCAGGGTAGGATGTTAGCTAAGTAAGGCCTGAGCAAGAAGCCTGGCAATGGCAGGAATGACAGCAGCAGCCAACAGAAACTGAGAGGTAAGAGCAAGGGGTATCCCCAGCCCGAGAAAATGAGGCTCCAGCTTTAGCTTAGACGGTGGGGCCACAAACGGTCAGGGACCCTGCAAGGAAGAGCCAGCATGGGTCAGGCAGGTGAAGCGTTCAGCAAAGGCACCTAGTCATGGGTGAGGCCCAGGTTTCTCAGCCCAGAGGTGGGAGCTCAAGCCTGAGAAGCCGGGAATCCTCCTCTCCCAGGGAGTGTGTGATCGAGCCCTGGGAACACCCAGCCAACAGCCGTGCTGAGGAGGGAGGCGAGGACAGTGTCCAGCATCAAAGGTGAAGAAAAGACGGTTCTTCTGAAAATGCATTTTTCTGGAACTGAAAACCCAGGCTACCTAGAAAGGTCAGTATTGACAGGCTACCTAGAGCAACTTTGACTTTAGAAGGGTAAGGAGAACTGCTCACTCTCCGTGTGCCAGGCCCTATTCTAAGTGCTTCCTACCTGTTAACTCTTGGAGCTGTCACCCTCCCACTGAGGTGGACTACCTGCTGTTCACAGGTGTGGGGCTTGGCACCGAGTAGGGAAGTCAAGTCACACACCAGTGAAGGGGAAGCAGGGCTCAAACCTCACAGTGTGCTGGGCTGTCTAGGGTTGAGGCAGGCATCCTAGCTAGCACTCGCACCTTTTGTCCAGGAAGACGAGGGCCGTGATGCCCGAGGAGACCTCCTCGCTGCTGCAGCGCAGAGTGCCCTCGATGGCGTCCCACACCTGCAGGCCCAGAGGCTGTGAGCACCTGCAAGCTAGGAGGGCCCACAAACCCCCTGCACAGACGTCCCCTCTGCCCACCTCCAGCCGGCCACTGCTCCGCCCCACCACGATGAGGCTGCCCTGCAGCTCCAGGCTCCAGATGGAGCCATCTGCGCTGGGGGCCCAGGCGAGGGAAGGGGAGCCCTTCTCGGGAGGAAAGCCCCCCTCGTCCTCAGGGGCCTGGGGCAGCGTGGGCCCGGGCGAGGGTGGGCGCAGGGCTGGTGTGTGGACGGGAGCCATTCCCTCCTCCTGGTACAGTCGCTGCACCAGGTGGCTGAAGTCATAGCCTGGGGAGGCCTGAGCACGGCGGCAGCCCGCCCGGTACCGGGGCTCGGGCTGAGCGGGCTCTAGGAGCTGTGGCTGCGCTGAGAAGTTGGTGTCGATCAAGCAGGTGAGGTCCGGCTGGTCCCCGAAGAGGGAAGTTGGCGGAGGGCCCCGGGGACGATGCCGTAGTGGAGGACTGTCCCCAGGCTCCTCTGGGCCACCCTTCCCACCGTCCGACAGCCGTTCCCAGCTCTCCTGAGCCTCCAACACGCTGCCAACACCACTGTCCTGGCGCTGCCTGCTGGGGGGTGGGGAGGGTGGGGTGAGGACAGTGGGGCACAGATGCAGGGCAGGGCATGGGTGGGAGGTGGGGGGGTACCTACCCCAGGTGTGGGATGCGAGTGAGGCAGTCTCCAGTCTGCGCGTCCCACACACACACGTGGCCTGCCAGGCAACAGCTCACCAGCAGCATCCCATCACTGGCCAGACACTCGATGTCCTGCGGGAGCACAGCATGGACATGGGCACGGGCGCTGGTGTCTGCGCGGCCCAGGCCTCAGGCGCCCCCAGCTCCCACCCGTGCTCACCATGAGGTGCCCGCGCAGCACCAGGGGCACAATCTCTGTCTCGGGTGGCGCGTAGCCGTAGTCATCACAGGGCAGCTCCCCACGCCGCCGCCGCCCGGGCCCCGAGCCGGGTTGCCCGTAGTTGCGAGGGCAGAGCACGCGGTATAGGCAGAGCAGCAGCAGCACGAGGACGATGCCCGAGGCCAAGCCGAGTGCTGCCACCCTGCGCCGGGCGGAGCCTGGTGAGGCGTGCCCCATCCCCCCCCCACCCCGTCCCTGCCAGCTGCCCCCCTCCCTTGTGGGCCTTACTTGTACAGGGTGATGTCTCTGTGCGCCTGCGCCGTGCCTGGCCCCTTGGGGCCGGCCTCCCAGAGCCCACCCTGCCCAGGCCGCGGCGGGGGCCAGGCACTGCGGCCGTCCTGAGGGTGCCGCCCCTCCAGGGCCTCCCTCGGGTTCAGGCGGAGCGTGACTGGGATGACAGGCAGCAGGCTGATGTACCTGGGGCCGGGCAGCGGGCAGCCTCAGCAGAGATGCCCTCGGAAGGGACCCCCCCTCCTGCTGCTGCCCCAGTCCCCCTCTCTGCTCTTCACACGGGACTCAGCTCAACCTGCCAGGCTCCAAGAACACCCTCTCAGGACAGTCTTCCCAGCATGGGCTGGGGCAGCAGAGGTAACATCCCTCCCCAGCTCAGCTCTGGCACCCCAACCTTGGTCTGTCACAGAAACCGGCAGCCAAGCCATCACTGCCATGTCTTTCACCCATTGTGGCTCAGAGTGGGTGGAAGTGAGTGAGGTGCATCTCATTCTGGCCAAGTGGCTGACAGCAACCTATGACTCCCCAGAGCAGGGCCCCGGGCTACTCTTAGGTTGTGGATGCTTGGAGCCCTGGCTCCTACTTCACAACCTTAGGGGTGTTTATTTGAAAGGAAATGCAGAATTCAAACCAGAGGGTCTCCCTCCTAAAGGGAAGGGATGCTCTGGGGACAGTGAGCTGACATCACCAGGTGGGGAGGTGGAACCTGGCACAGCCCAACTCACCTCTTGGCCAGTGTGATGTTGTAGTAGCTGAAGAGCGTTGGCCAGTGGCGGAAGGACAACTTCCTCCAAAGTTCCTCATCCTCAGTCCCCCAGGTTACCTCTGGGGCTGGGCTATCATGGATGCCCTCAGCTGGAGCCCCAGGCTCGGGCAGCTCCCCTGGCAATGTCTGGTTCTCGGGTAACTTAGAGGCACCAGGTGGGAAGATGGAGAAGGCGGGGTCCGGGTGGCTGGCAGGCAGCACACCACTAGGCACAGGCATGGAAGCCAGGGCGCCCTCGCCCAGAGGGCTCTGCTCGGTCACCTGGGCAGTGAGGTATGTGCGCAGCCCTGCTGGGTCTGTGTACACCAGGATGCCAATCCAGACAACGGTGCCAGCCTGCAGTGGGGCATCGGGTGCTCAGCAGGACCTCTGGGAGGAACGGACAGCCCCAACCTGTCCTACCCTCCTGCCTTCCCAAGTCCTCCCACTATGACTGGGGGCCAACTGCCCCCCAGAGGGACCTAGTTCCCTTTCCATGGTCGGGGTTTGGGACTCCTGGCCTGGAAACAGAGGTGCACCCTTAGGTTTGTTACAGAACTTTCCCATCTCCAAACCCCATCTCAGCTTGGGCCAGAAAGCTGCTACCTTTCCCATGGTCGGCATGGCCAGAGGGACCAGCTGCATGACCTGCTCCACGGACACCACGGGTCCTAGTCCTCAGAGGGCCTCAGCCTCGCTGCCGTCTCACTTCAACTCCTTAGGAGAGGCCCACTGACCAGAGGCCAGCCCTGCTCCTTCTCCCCTCTGCCCAGCCCAGCATTTTCTGATGCCTGCACAGTGAACCCTGACTCAGGCAACCATGGTGGCTCCATCCCAGAGCACCCCGTCCTGGGTCACCCTGGGGAGACGACTCCTCTCCCTGCCAACCTCGGCTACCTCTCCAAAGATAGGCTTATCACCCCAGAAACCACCAGGGTCTGGGCAGGAGGGCAGAGTGGGTGGCTTCCCAAAGCCAGGCTTCAAGAGGCCATGAAGGCCTGAGGGGCACCCCCCACCTCCAAGGCAAATGCAAAATGCAAGAGGGACTTGAGCGCTGGCCCTCGGGCAGGGGTGGCAGGTACCATGATGAGGCGCTGTGCCAGGCGGGTTCGGGCCAGGAAGTAGACGACACGCAGCCTCTTGGGGAGCCGCAGGTTTCGGAAGGAGGACGGTTGCAGTGTGATGGTGTGGGGTGTGGACGGCCGCACAGCCAGCTGCCGCTCGAAGCGTGCTGGCCGCCCCGCTGGCTTAGCTGGGGGCAGGCAGGCCTCAGGAGGCAGCCGCTTGTTCAGGTCCGCTAGCTGTTGGGGGTGCAGTGGTCAGGGCCCAAAGCTGCTGTCCAGAGGCTGTCCGCAGGGGGCTGCTGCCCTGCCCGAGGCCTGCCCCTCTCTCACCCAGAGATCCCCTGAGCACAGCCAGGGATGCGGAGGAGGTGGGTGGGCAGGGCTCAGCCCAGTCCTACCTCCATCCGGCGAATGTCAATGGACAGGACAGTGGTGAAAAACAACATCTGAAGGAAGAAGTCAGACACCAGGCCCACGACGGCAAAAAGACAGAACTCCTGGAATTAAGCAGATGAGGGGACACCATGACCTCACGGCCCAGCACCCAGAGAACCAGTTCCGTGCCTGCAGGCACCTCGGAATCTGTAGGGCAGTTTCAGGCAAGGCACAGCAGAGAGAAAGAAAAGAGATGTTGGTAGTTCTGAAATCTGGGAGCGGCCAAGGAGGATAATGCAGCCGCTACCTCCCTCCCCACAAGGGGGCAGCAGAGACCTCCCCCCAATCCCCACACCTTTACCCAGAGAAGGCTGATGCCCGAACTTGGAGGTGAGGTGCCTTGACCCAACTTGGAAAGTTCTTTTTTTTTGGCTGTACGCGGGCTTCTCACTGCTGCGGCCCCTCCCGCCGCAGAGCACAGCCTCCGGACGCGCAGGGTCTGTTTACGGCCCAGCCGCTCCGTGGCATGTGGGATCCTCCCGGACCGGGGCACGAACCCGTGTCCCCTGCATCGGCAGGCGGACTCTCAACCACTGCGCCACCAGGGGAGCCCCAACTTGGAAAGTTCTGAGCCCCACCAGCCTGCTACCCAAAAAGCCCTCCCTGACTGAGCCCCTGGCCCTGCTCATGTGCCATGGACCGACACCTACCTAGAGCCCAGGCCTGGCCTGGTTTGGGGGCTCTCAGAAATATTCCTGGCCAGTGACCACACTGGACCAATGAAAGGAAGGGAAGAGCTCAGGGGGGAATTAATTCTGCCCTGAAACTGAAAAGGGGTGGTCTCTCTGCTCCCCAAGCCCTGTGGATAGATGGAATTTTCTCAGATTTAAGTTTTTCTCCCCTGCCCTTGTTGCGACCTCTGGCACATCACCATGGCTTCTACTCAAATGTGGGGTAAGACGAAGGATGGAGCACATGGTGGCACCGTGGTCATGTCAGCTCTAATGTCCCAAGACTGCCCGTATCCTGCAGACGCCCTCTGGCAGGGGTGGGAGCCTGAGGCCCCTGTGGTCTCAGCTCATCCCCAAACCTCAGCAGGCCTGCATGCTGTCGGGGAAGGACAGGGAGGGGATGGCTCTTCACTCCCTTCGCACAACTTGTCCTGGAACCGGCAGCAACAGTCTGGGCTTCTGACTCAGTGTGGGTTCACCCCCACCTCTGCTCACAGCCCCACAGCTGGGCCAGGGCTCTGGGCAATGGCCGGTGGCCCTCCCAGGGTGCGGGCCATGTGTTCAGAGGCTGCAGGGGTGGGTCAGGGCTCGGGTCAGGAAAGGCCCGGTTCAGGGGCCCCAGCGTGTTCTGAGAACTGGGAAACGAGGTCTGACTGGACTGCACAGCGGGCAGCCAGCCTCTGCTGCACCCACCAAGCCCCCTACTGCCACTTGGGTGAATGAGAGACAGGCAGCGAGGGGCAAGGACAGGGTCAAAGGCAGAGGCTGCCAGGCTGGGAGCTCAATCCCGTGGCCCATTCTCGGCTCACTGAGTCCTCCTCCTGAACCAGCTATGCCAGGACCACCCTGTGCACGGTGACAGCCATCTTGCCAGCAGAGGGCCCACCTCATGGGTGAGGGTGGCAGTGTAGAGCGGGTGTGCCCCGCACAGCTGGGGAGACAGCAGCTGGCTCCATGCTCACCTAAGCTACAGCCCTGGAGGGGCCTTACCTGGATGGCAGGCACAAGGGTAAAGTAGCCAATGAGAATGATGCCCAGCTCTGTGGCCATGTTCTTCATGATGGACCAGCTCTCATTGCTTAGGCCTGCAGAGGACAACAACAGGACCATGGGGCCAGCACGTGACTGCTGTCCACTACGTGTCTGCACACAACCACATGGGGAGCCTTCTGAGGCAGCCATTCCACCAAAGCGCCCCAAGCCTCAGGACCCTGCCAGTGCCCGGGCTCCAAGGTGCTGCTGTCACAGCTGCTGCAGGGAAGGAGGGTTTGGAGGGTCCAGGGGAGAGCTACAACCATCAGAGGAAGGGAGAAGCAGGGTGTGAGTTGAGCAAACCCAAGAGGAGAGCCAAGTGACCCCAAAGCTGGCACATCCAGCCTCACATGCTGTCCTCGTCGGGTGTGCATGGTCTGTCTGCACGTGGGAGCATGGCTCGAGAGACAGAGGAGGTCGCTGTGTGCTACCTCAGCCCCTCCCTGGGCCCCAGACTATCACACAGTCTCCTGTTTAAAGCTGAGCGCCTAGTGGACAGCGGCCATTTCCCCTAGTCTCCTCAGAACCCTACATCTAGTGCAGAGCCTGGCCTCTCACAGCAGCTCACAGAGGTTTGCTGATTGAACAGCCTGCCCCCAGCCCTGCTCCCACAGATAGGGGGTGAGGAGGACGAGGAGGTGCACGAGCTCAGACCTCCAGGCTCTTTTCTCGCTTTCGCCAGAACCCCAGATCCCCAGCTCCTGCCACGGAGGCCACAGGGGGCTTTCCTGACAGCTGTGGAGGCAGCGTCTCTGAGGTGACCAGCTTCAGGGGCCTGGGCCTCATGTGATGGAGTGAGGCAGGAGGAGAAAAGACCAGGTGCCAGCCTGACGAAGGGTCAAACATATGAGCCCCGCAGCAGAGTCTGGTTTGCTTTCTGACTGACACGTGAACCAGGACGAAGCACGGCCTGGTGACTCCACGGTTCCTCAGGGCTCATGCTAACAAGCTGCCATGTGACGCTGGAGACCACAGCAAGGGAGGCTCCTGGGCTCCCTGTTTCCTCAGCCGGAAGAGGTAGCACAGCCCCCCTCCCCTGCCCTAGTGCACCCCGCACTCCCCACCTGTTACCTTGGGCGATGCGCAGCTTCACCTCGAGGTCCACTGGGGTGGAGACCACTGACTTGGTGAGCACCAACACGTTCTCGAGCCCAATGACCACCACGAGGTAGGGGAAAATCTCACTGGGGACAGAGAGGGAGAGGGTGAGCAGAGCACTGAGGAGGGCCCCTGACACACAGCGGGTTCTCAACGGGTTTGGGTCCCGGGGGGCTATGGGGTTGGCACCCTACAGTGGGGGCTGCTGAGCGACTCGCACAGCACAAGACTGACCCCCCGTCCCAGGAGGGCCTCTGTCTGCACGGCTCTCAGCTTTCAGGCAGGCTTCGAAGCCGTGCGGGGAGAGAGCGACCACCCCCATCTCCATCCATCCAGCACGGCGGAGAGAGGCCCCTGGGCTGCCCAGCTGCCAGAGCACAGCTCTCGGGGCCTCCCCACACCAGACTTCCACATTGGCCAGAGACCACCCAGCCAAGTCATCAGGACTAAATGGAAGGGGGATGAGACCAGCCTAAAGCCCTACTCGCCTCTGTGGAGAAGCTGTGTTTGGAGATGAGCAATTGTTTCTAAAGAAAATTCTCCTAGCTCTCTGAGACCAGAGGCTCCCACTACCAGTGACGGTCCACGAGGGAAGTCTAGGCACAAAGAACACCAGCCGAGGCAAACCTCACTGGGGTCTCCACTGTAGAGCAGTGGAAGTGGGGGGTCTGAGGGCAGAGCAGACAGCTCTGGCGGGAGGGGGTGTTTAGCACCATCACCTTTAGGAAAGGAAGCAGTTCTGTGATCAAGGAAGGTAACAGAAAACACAAAATCGCTGTTCCTGAGACCAGTCTGACAAGCCAAGGCAGGGCACAGGCCAACTGGCAGTACTAACGGACAGGCAGGTGGGGCCCAGCAGAGCTGAGGAGACTGAAGCCCGAGGACACACCCAGGGAAGGGTTTTCAGACCACGTTTCAGAGAGAAACGGCAGGGAAAGCAAACCGTGGAAAGGTGATAAATTAGAATGTGTTTATGTCCTATGTCTTTTAAAAAGCTCACTCTAACGTTACCTATTTTATTAGGCATTTAAATGTTTTAATAGTAAGAAAGGAAGAAATGTACCTTCCCTGTCACACCCATCTATGGCTTAAGCCATGAAGAAGCAATTTGCACGTGTATATATAATATACAAATACACACATACAAATCCATATACCCTATACAAACACACAATACATACCCATATATATATATGCATAAACACACACATATGCATATATAAATACCTATCCCATATACACACACAGAAAAATACACGTGAACATACATACACACACACATAACCATATATGTATTATATGTAAATATAGATATACTTTGTATATACATATGTATGAACACAAATCAGATAACTTAAAAGAGGAAAAAAATGTACCTCTTAAATGCCAAAATAACCATGTGAGAATACAGGGTAACAGCAAGTGTCCAGTGCAGGGCAGGCCAAGTGCCCAGAGGTGCAAGGTCCTCCGGCCTGCGGTCCCACCCTGCCACCCAGTGGAGCCTGCTCGGGACCTACCCGCCGTTGAGGGTGGGCGTCAGGCCGAAGAGTGTGCAGAGCCCCACCGACATGAGCAGCGAGCTAAGCACTGTGACCACGGCGGCCAGAGCCAGCCCCCACTTGGACTTGACCATGTCGATCTTGCCTGGAGGGCAGAGAGGGTACATCAGGATAGCATCTCCCCAGAGCCTGGCACACACAGGCCCTTCTAAACTGAGCTCCTAGGAGGGGAGCATGCCCTGACAGTTGAGGAAGGGAAGGCCCCGGTTTGACCAAAGAAGGTATACACTTCCCAGTCTCAGGGGCATAGTGTGTCCTTTGGGAACCCTTACCCAAGATGGGACTTTTCTTGAGAAGTAAGAGGAGCCCTGGACCCACCCGAGCCCCTGAGACTCTGTGGGGGTGGTGAAGCCCCAGTTTTTGTAACCACCAAGCACGTTCTACATCTCTGCCTGGGCCACCTGCACAGGCAGGGAAGGGGGTGATCTGGAAATGCCCGTATTAGCTCAGACAAAGCCCCAGCCTCCTTGCCGTGGACCTACGCGTGGAGAAGTAGATGTAGGCAAACAAGATGATGTAGGTGGTCACAAGGGGGATGAGCTCAGCGATGCCAATCTCCTCCTTGAAGTGCACGTGGACCAGGCTCTCTGCCCGAAGGCTGCAGTTGGGGCTGGGGTGCAGGAGCATCAGGCGGGCCCGCAGGCTGCCCAGAAACCTGGTCATGGAGTGGGGTCGGGTAGATGGACTGTACCTCTTGGTCCAGGGGACACAGACAATCCCTGAAAGGAAGGTCTGTCGGGGCTTCCCTCCTCCCCCTGTGTTGGAGGGAGCTTCTCTGTAGTGTCTAACCTTCCCTCCAGTCTCCAGGGTGGGGTGGGGGGGGGGGTTGGAAGAATTAAAACGTTGGCAAAGGTGTCTCAGGACCTCCCCCTCAGCACCCCATTCCCAACCGATCACCCTACTCCGACTGCCAAAGGCCCAGAACAGCCAATCAGCAGCATCCTACAGGACCTTGCTGGGAGCTATCTGCAGCAGTCTGCTGGGAAGGTTCTGAGGTCACATGGGGCTCAGTAGTAACCAGCTGGGGACCCCTACCCTAGGCTCAAGAGAGCCCACTGGAGGTACCAGGACACTGAATGTGCCAGCCCTGCCTTCGTCCCTATTCTTTTTTTTTTGGCCATGCAGTGCAGAATGCAGGTCTTAGTTCCCCGACCAGGGATCAAACCCATGCCACCCCCGCCCCTGGAATTGGGAGTGCGGAGTCTTAACCACTGGACCACCAGGGAAGTCCCGGCGTCCCTTATTCTTTTTTTTTTTTTTTTTTTCTATCACCCCTTATTCTTAACCAGCTGTCAGGTCATCCCACTCAAGTGTCAGCAAACAGCACCCTTCAGCCTAAGGGATATCAACATTTCTACAGGAGGCCTGAGAACTCCAAGTTCCCAGGGGGCATTCTGGACACTCTAACCAGAACAAGTACTAGTCAAAGCCTCCTGTCATTCCACAGCCCCATCAGGAGCCCTGAGCGTTGATGGCCTTACCTGGCATCATAGTGCTGGAAGACCAGGGTGATGGTATACGAGACCAGCCTCTTCCTGGTGTAAAGGCTCACTCCACTGTACTTTCCAGGGACACCGAACAGCAAGTCTGCAGACAGAACGCAGCAGGTGCTGACAAAGGAACGGCAGCTACTGTAGAGACACCAGGGCCCCTCTCCACCCCCATCTTTGGAAACTAGGGGTAACCCCTGATCTGCCAGAGCAGCCATCAAAGAGGACGTGGTGACCAACAGGCCCTCTGGCGGGTTCTCAAGGAACCTGCCCTGGGGGTACCTTTGAGCGTGGCCGAGGTCTGCAGGGTTTTAGGTTCGTGTTGATGGATGGTTCCGATGATGTCAGGATCAGCATGGAAGTGTTCCCGGTCATTCTGCCAGAAGTTCCCAGGGGACAGCAGCAGGCATCCGTGCTCGGGTAGGAGGTTCCGGAGCTTCCTGAGGCCTGGCAGCAGGTCGGTCACCTGCAGGCATACCTCCTCCAGGCTCCTGGTCCCGGAGCTGTGTGGGAGACAGGACGAGGCACCTGCTGTGTCTGCTAGCACAGGATAGGCCCACTGCACTTACGAGGTCTCCTCCGTCATCAGGCTCCCAGATGCCTGGTATACCAAAGAGCCTGAGAACCAGGGCAGCAGGGGAAGTTCTTCCAGGTGGTCAACAACCAAACCATGTGGCTGTCTGACCTTCAAAGTGCATGTGGACCCCAAAAGCCCATCACCTCTGAGGAGAGGCAAGATCTGGGAGTGTGCACAGCCCCACTCACTAGAATACCTTGGCCAGTTCAGCAGGCAGAGGGGATAGGGTGAAAATCAAGGGCTTTGTCTTGTTCACCAAAATGCCTGTCAAAGCCCTCAGCTAACTAAAACCCAGCAGTGAGGCAGCTTACAAAGACAGCACACTCCAGAGAATCACTGGGGGGCGCGGATTTCAGAAGTGTACCCCCAGGGACAGCTTGCTTCTTGTCAGCATGGCCACCACCATGAGATTCACATCTCACAACCCCTAGGCAGTGGCCCTCTGGGTCACGAGTCCAACAGACCTCAGCTTGTCACAGGGTTGGCCCAGTGGATACCTAGTCTGTCTGAGACCTGGCAACGAAGCTCAGGGCTCTACCTGTGCCATCTGCACAGGTCCAAGGGGAACACAGCCACAGTGGACCCACAAGCATGCTGAGAAAAGCAAAGCGAGCCCACCCACCTCTTTCTCACTTGCTCACCTTCCACAGAGCTGGCTGGCTCAATGGACTTACACTGAGGGCTGCTCCCTCCCTTCAATACAGAGCTGGATCAGGGAGGCTGCGGTCCCAGGGAGGGATACCTGTCTCTCAGCACATGGTTCCGGATCTCCTCCACCAGCTGGAATGCCCGGGAAAGAGGTGAGCGGAACACATCTACTGCCAGGAGGTTCTTGTGCCAGGGAGATACTGAAGACTTCACAAATATCTGCTGGATATAAGCCACCGGGGCACCCACGTACTGCGGAAGAAACGGGGGAGGGTTAGAAAGGTCAGCTCAGCACAAGAGGGAGAAACATGGCCCGTACTCAGGAAGGATTTACTGAGCACCTACTACGGGCAAAGCAATGCGGGGCCAACAGGACAGGCCTTCAAAAATAAAGATGTCCAAAGGGACTTCTTACCACTTAATGAACCACTTTCCTACACATTTTCCAATAGAATAGGGGTTGCCAAACTATGGCCACAGGCCATAAATTGAGCCTGGCACCTGTTTTTCTAAATAAAGTTTTCCTGGAACGCAGCCATACCCACCCCATTCTGCACTGTTCCGCTTTCATGCAACAATGAGAGGTGAGTGTTCACGACAGATGGCATGACCCACAAAACCTAAACAAAACCTGTATCTCTAGCCCTTGATGCAAAATGCCTGCTGACCCTGCAATGGGCCATAAGCTCCCCAAAGGGTGTAGCCTATCTTGCCGATCCTGGTTTGGCCACTTGCAGGTCACTGGTTTTTGAAGCTCAACAGACCCAGTTCTAAATCTCTACTCTCCAACTGTATGGCCTTGGAAATGTTTTTGACTTCTCTGGATTTTAATTTCCTCAGTGAAAGGGAGATAATGACATTCACCCTGCAGCATCACTACGATTTGCGCACAAGCACAGGCACGCGCACACACACACACACATAAACAGCGCATGCAGAGACTTAAGTGCCGATGGAAACACTAACAATAACAGGTGTGGCACATCGTCTCACTGACCCCCAAAACAGTCCTATGAGAAGCAAAGTGACTCTCTAGGGTTTCAGGACTCAAGAAGGATGGTGTGAGGATGCAAACCCAGGTCTCCTCGTTGAACACCACACTTTTCTCACTAGAACCTGCCATCTATCCTTAAAGAGCTAATATGCACTTAAGTGACAAAAGTGACACACATGTAATAGGCGAGGAATGACTTCCAGCGACGGATGTGTCAAGGAGCACCCCCAAAACAAGGTACTGGACTAGCTGCAGCAGAGTTATGGCCAGAGAGGAGCTGACTGGAAGCACGAGGTGGGGAAGGGTTGGTGGAAGAGGGGCAGTGAGGGCCTCTGAGGAGCAGCCTGGACAGCATAGAGGAGTCCTGGCAGGTAATAATGGAACTCACAGCAAAAATGAGAGGTGGCCAGGATGACACCTGACTGAGCTGTCTGGATTTTAACCAGTTGACAAACAAAAGCCCCTGACTATCTCTGAGAGGGAGGGGCAACCTGACAAAGCGGTGCTCTGGAGACCCCCCTAAAGTTAGGCTGTCATCCACCCAGAGACAGGGATGGTGTGCCCACAGGCGTGAGGCACTGTGAAGAGCAGGCTGCAGGAGCCGGGCCTGGCCGAGGGACGAGGGGACTGTCCTGAAGCCCGTGCTGCAATCAGGAACTCTGAAGGGCAGGTGTGTAGATGAAAGGAAGGCCATCTAGCCACTCAGTGATGCCATACTCCAGGCTATGGCACGAGCAAGGGTTAAGATGCTGATCACACACAGCAAGTTAACATCTCCTGGGCCCCTGAGCCCCTGGGCGCAAAGGAACAACCCCAGGTATCCATCTGAGCCTTTGTGAAGTGTGTATTTATGACAGGCTCTGGGGACAGAAGTCCTCACCCACTTAGTCTTCTGCAGCAGACTCAGCCCACTAGAAGCTGCCAGGAGGTAGAGAGGTACCTAGACAGAACTGACTGCCACAGGTCCTGACCCAAACATCAGCTCATCGACTCAACACACTACACAGGCCTGAGTGTGGACGGAGCTGCCCAGAGACCCACAGCTCTACAAGGAGAGCGATAATACCCAGGGGATCATCCTCAAACTCTGAACCTCTGTGAAGGACACAGCACATCACCCAGGTAGAGCTGGCACCGTGGAGCCTCCAGATCCAGGTCTGTTCCCACTGGGCACAAGGCTGTGACTCCGCACGTACCATCTCCTCTGCCCGTGGCCCTCGTCATATACTCCACCCCCACCCTTAGGCCCACTGAGCCTGTGCAACTGAACCTCTGGTTTCCAGGCAGGACAGCTTCTTGGCCCTCCAGTCCAAATCCAGCCCCCTTCCCACCCAGGACCATCCAGGCCACCATTTCAACAAAGTAACAATGAACATACTTCAGAACCAGAGCTCTCGTTCTGGGCTCTCGGGATGGCTCCAGGAGTTCTATGAGCACCCTGCTTAACTCATATTTCTTCTCAAAAGTGTATCTATTATTATCACTGTCATCGTTTTTAGGGGAGAGGATCCATGGTTTTCATCAGATTTTCGTAAGAATATGTAACCCCTATGCCCCAGACACCTTTTTCCTTTGACCTTCCACCAGCCCTGGGTAAAATCCACTGCTCATTTGTTTTCATTCATCAGCTGGTAAGCCTTACCAGACAAAAACCACGTAGAAGAGAGCCTACGGCACAGCCACGCTCTCCGGCCTTGGCTGGACCTCCCTCTGCTGGCCGGCTCTTATTCACCTCCCCGATTTCCAACTGAACTTTCCAAGCAGCTATTCCACATCTGTCCAGCTCTTTTCAAGATCTTGGGTCAGTCATTTAATATGACTGTGTCAAACTCATCGTCCAATATATGTACCCTCGAACTCCCTCTTCTGGGCATCAAAATTTTCTTATGGTGGTTTATTTACAGGCATGAGCCTAACTCTTGTCATTCACTATCTTAGTTTGGGTTCCCCCAGCAGCAGGCCCTTAGACAAGTAGTTTCCTTGGGAGGTGGAGGAAACACAGGGAGGGGAGTAGGTACAGGAGCAGCGAAGGGAAGGCAGCCCAAAAAGGGTGTGCTACTGAGCAAGCATCCTCTGTGGATAACTGAGTTAGATTTAGCTGAGTTATCCCACATAAAGGAAGACAGCTGAGGTTACATACCAACTCCTACAGTTACTGGCTGAGGGCTGCTCCTAGGGGGTGCGAATTCTCCAGCACCTCAGGCCTTCTGTACCAGAGATCCTTTGACAAATGAGATGTGGATACTGGTGGCTGGAAAGCAGGCAGGCACGAAAATGGTAGCAGGAGATGTGGGCAGGGCCTACCACTCACTGTGCTGGGCCCTATCATAATCCCTACTTGATACTCAAGTAAGAAACAGACATGGAAGCAGAGACAACACGAGGTATCCTAAGTGGGTGAGGGAGAAAGCGTAAGGGCCAGTGGAGTACAGATGCCCCTGAGTACAGAGGGAGGAGTGCTCACTAGATGGAGGCTTCTAACATGGCCCCAGTCATCTCCACCTCCTGGCGCTCATGCCCAAGTATAATCCCCCTCGAGAGTGGGCTGGACCTAGTGACTTGCTTCTGACAAACAGAATATAGCGAAAGTGATGAGCTCTTATTTCTGAGATTAGGTTACAAAAGACTATGACCCTTAAGGCCATTATGCTAAGTGAAATAAACCAGGCACGAAAAGACAAATACCATATGATTCCACTTATATGAGGTACCTAAAGTTGTCAAATTCATAGTGTCAGAAAGCAGAATGGTGGTTATCAGGGGCTGGGAAAGGGGGAATGCGGAGCTACTGTTTAATGGTGCAGAGTTTCTGTTTTACAAGATGAAGAGTTATGAAGATGGATGGTGGTAATGGCTGTACAATAATGTGAATGTATTTAACACCACTGAACAGCACACTTAAAAATGGTTAAGAGAGGGAATGCCCTGGTGGTCCTGTGGTTAGGACTCAGCGCTTTCACTGCTGGGGCCTGGGTTCAATCTCTGGTCGGGGAACTAAGATCCCACAAGCCACGTGGCACAGCCAAAAAACAAAAACAAAAACAAAAACAGTTAAGAGAGTAAATTTTATGTTGTGTGTATTTTGCCACAATTTTTTTTTTAATGGAAGGAAAAATCAGACTACGAGTCCTCCTCTGCCCCCCTCCTTTAGAGCCACCACTCTGATGAAGTCAGCCATATCCATGTGGCAAGGAACTGAGGGGCTTTCAGCCAACACCCAATGAGGGACACGAGTCCCTCAGTTCAACAGCCTGCAAGAAACCTGCTTCCAGCTCACTGTCTGAGCGAGCTTGGAAGCAGATTCTCTCCAGTCAGGCTCTGAGATAACTGCAGCCTTGGCTGACACCCGGATTGCAGTTTGTAAGAGACCCTGAGCTAGAGGACCCAGATAAGAAAACCAAGTCTCAGAGAGATAAATAGGATATGCCCAAGGACACACAGCTGATAGGCAGCAGACCAGGATTAAAGCCCAGGGCCGCCTAATTCCCAAGCTGGTATATTCTACCTGCCTGGGTAGTTCTGAACTATGTGAGTTCCCATGGAGAACAGGACATAGATGGAAAGGCCCAGCACAAGGAGTGCAGGAGGGGAGCTGAGGTCCTGAGGACCTGTGGGGTCCCTGACCAGGGCTCCCTGGAAACCTTGCGTTCAGGCTCAGGCTACCACCAAGCCCTGCAGTGCTGGGCTGGAAGCCCAGCCACCTCTGTGGACACGGCAGGTAGGTCTTGGTGTGAGGTTCAGGTTTCCATGGTGACCTGGTCTAGGGGAGCCAGGCCAGTGCAGGACACCTCAAGTTTGCTATTTTAAACACAATCCTTCCTTCACATTTAGAGAAAGCAAGCTAGAGCTCCAGGTATTTCACCTTTACACTGACACACCCAGGGGCTCCCTTTACAACACCATACGGAGGACTCCCATTACTCAGCTCTTCTGGAAAACAGGGCTCCGGCTCCTTGTTCTCCAGCCCTGGATAGGTGAGGGGGTGGGGTGTGGTGGGAAGGGCAGGCTCAGGGGACACGTCAGGGTTAAATTCTAGCTCCACCCCTGGCTGTGTGCCTTGGACAAGGGTCTCTACACTCTCCAAGCCTCAGTCCCTTACTTACTGAGGGAAATGGGAATAAACTCTCAGACCTCAGCAGATCACTGTGAGGACCAAACAAAAGAACACACGAAACCAATTAGTAAGGTGTCTGGCCAAATACATGTTAGTTATATCTAGTTGTATCATTATGTCTTAAAACTCTTAAAATTGGTTTGGCATCCCTTTAAAATCAATCTCTCCTCCACTTTCTTGTCCCCTCACCCTCCCTCCTAGGCACGGTCAACTCAGTCTCCAAGTTTCTCTAAGTTCAATTAGATTGACCTTCTTACCACCACTTTCATCATGTCATTGCCTCTAAGGGAATGGCTTTCTACTGCCCAGAGAATTCATTTAAACTCCAGAGCCCAAGATTTTACTTGGTCCCACCTAACTTATCCCCTATCAAGCTCCAAGAAAAATGCCTCACTTCAGACTATCTGTCTCCTAAATAAGCCGTGCTTATTCAACAAGTCATTCAAAAGAAAAAAACCCTTTCTTAAGCATATACTATGTGCAAAAGGTTGGACAAATTTGAATGAAACATGACTGCAACTAGGTCACACTACAGTTCACAAGGAGAAACAGAGCACACATCTGCAAGACACCTGGGGAAGGCTTCCTGGAGAGCGTGATGTGAACTAAGGAGCAAAGGATAAGGAGTGCATGCCCAGTGCACTCAGAGGGCAGTCCAAGCATGTGAACCTCTGTTCTTCTGCCCTCTGCTCCGACCAGATCTAATCAATGGCAATGACAGCCAGAAACATTTATCGAATGCAAATGATAGGCCAGGCACTGACCTAACTTTTGCATTCTTTCACTTAATCCTACGGCAATGTATAATGCAGGTATAATTATTATCCCCACTTTACGAATGTGGAAACTAAGGTACACAGGTGTTACATAACCTGCCCAAGGTCACATGCCTGTGAAATAGAAAGTCACCTTTCTGCTTTGCTCTGGTCTTCCTCTGGTAAAAACATCTCTCCTTCCAGAGGGAACTGTCCTCCCCTACCCCACAAGACAACTGATCAGTGACTCCAACACAGGGCAGACCTAACTCAGAGCACAAGCACCCACACCCAGTAGAGTTGATTAGAGTCCTTTCTGGAGGACACAGAAAGGCCCAACTGCAGGGTGCAGACACCACCCCACTCGGGGGAACACTTCAGCAAAAGGGGAGAAAGAGGACTATATACTATATAGAGACACCTCCAGCATACAGAAAGAATTACAATTCAATAAAACGAAATCCAAACAGCTCAATTCAAAACGGGCAGAACACTGAAACACTTCACAAAGGAAGGTATGCAAATACAATAAGCACTTGACAGTAGTCATCTGGAAAATGCAAATTAAAAACACATCTAGATTGTTCCATACTTCTATTAGAAAAGCTTAAAGAAAACCCAAACAAACCTGACAGTACCAAGAACTTTACAGCACAGAGACTGAACTTTAATGTATGGAAATTTAAAAAATAATTTAGGAGGCTGACAGATGTGAAAAGAATGACACTTTACCTCTGTAGTGTTCCTTCCAAAAACCCATAACCCCAGTCTAATCTAGAGAAAAATAAGCAAATCCCACTTGAGGAACACTCCTCAAAACTGTCCAGAGCGGGACTTCCCTGGTGGTCCAGTGGCTGAGAATCTGCCTTCCAATGTAGGGGACACGGATTCGAGCCCTGGTTGGGGAACTAAGATCCCACATGCTGCAGGGCTACTGAGCTCGTACGCCTCAACTAAAGGGCCTGCAGGACTTCCCTGGTAGCACAGTGGTTAAGAATCTGCCTGCCAATGCAGGGGACACGGGTTCGAGCCCTGGTCTGGGAAGATCCCACATGCCGTGGAGCAACTAAGCCCGTGCGCCACAACTACTGAGCTTGCATTCTAGAGCCCGCGAGCCACAACTACTGAGCCAGCACCACAACTACTGAGCCCACGTGCCACAACTACTGAAGCCCGCGTGCTCTAGGGCCCACGTGTTGCAACTACTGTAGCCTGTGCACCTACAGCCCATGCTCCGCGACAAGAGAAGACACCTCAATGAGAAGCCCATGCACCGCAATGAAGAGTAGCCCCCCACTCACCACAATGAGAGAAAGCCCGTGCACAGCAACGAAGACCCAACACAGCCAAAAATTAATAAAATTTTAAAATAAGTAAATAAATAAAGAGCCTGCGTGCCATGAACTACAGAGCCCACATACTCTGGAGCCCAAGCACCACAACTAGAGAGAGAAAACCCACACACCACAACTAGAGAGAAGCCCACACAACGCAACAACAACAAAAAAGATCCTGCATGCCACAATGAAGACCTGACGCAGCCAAAAATAAAAACTAATTAATTAATTAAATAAATATAATATAATAAAATACTTATTTACCAAAAAAACCTGTCCAGGTCATTAAGAACAAGGAAAGTCTGAGAAACTATCACTAAGGAAAAGTAAGGAAACCAGATTTCCTTAGCTTGTACCTATGCCCTTTTTCTCTCCCAAGATCCCATCTAAGGTACCATGTTATATTTAGTTGTCCTGTCTCTTGAGGCTTCTCTTGGCTGTGACAGTTTCTCAGACTTTTTTTTTTTTTTGGCTGCATTGGGTGTTTGTTGTTGCACACGGGCTTCCTCTAGTTGCAGCGAGTGGGGGTTACTCTTCGTTGTACACAGGCACCTCACTGCAGTGGCTTCTCTTGTTGTGGGGCATGGGCTCTAGGTGCACAGGCTTCAGTAGTTGCAGCATGTGGGCTCAGTAGTTGTGGTTCTTGGGCTCTACAGCACAGGCTCAGTAGTTGTGGTGCATGGACTTATTTGCTCCTCTGCATGTGGGATCTTCCTGGACCAGGGCTAGAACCCGTGTCCCCTGCATTGGCAGGTGGATTCTTAACCACTGCACCACCAGGGAAGTGCTCAGACTCTGTTTTTCATGACTTTGACAGTCTTGAGGAGCGCTAGTCAGGAACTGTGTAGACCATCCCTCAACTGGGACTCGTCTGACGTTCTTCTCATGATTAGACTGGGGTTATGGGTTTTTGGGAGGAAGACCACAGAGGTAAAGCACCCTTCTTGTCACACATCAAGGGTACATACCATCAACCTGATTTATCACTGTTGATGTTGACCCTCATCACCTTGCTCAGGTGCTCCACTGTAAAGAGACTCTTTTCTCCCCTCTCCACATGGTACTCTTTGGAAGAAAGTCACTATGCACAGTCCACAATTAAGGAAGAGGGATTATATTACACCTCCCTGAGGGCAGAGTAGCTACCTATATATATATATATTTTTTAATACAATGATTACTTTTTACTGCATTTTTTAAAATTAATTTATTCTATTTTATTTATTTTTGGCTGCATTGGGTCTTTGTTGCTGCACGCAGGCTTTCTCTAGTTGCGGCGAGCGGGGGCTACTCTTCGTTGTGGTGTGCAGGCTTCTCATTATGGTGGCTTCTCTTGCTGCGGAGCACAGGCTCTAGGCGCACGGGCTCAGTAGTTGTGGCTCAGGGGCTCTAGAGCGCAGGTTCAATAGTTGTGGCACACGGGCTTAGCTGCTCTGCGGCATGTGGGATCTTCCTGGACCAGGGCTCGAACCTGTGTCCCCTGCACTGGCAGGTAGATTCTTAACCACTGCGCCACCAGGGAAGCCCAGCTACATAAATTTAGAATTTTTGCCCAGATTTGTCTATTTTCATTCGCTGATTTATTCAATCATATGGACTCAGACATTTATTTTACACTGTGGGTTATAATCCAATACTACTTTACTTATTTTTTTGCAAAGTGTATTTTATTTTCCAGCATTGGCCATTTGGAGCTCTTTCAGTTGGCTCCTGTTTCCCTTTGACATATGCTGAATTTATTTTAAACTGATATCTTTGTCTTCTCCTCCCAAGCACACTAGATCTCCTCCGGAGCAGTGAGGCTCAAGATCATTCTGCCAGGCACATTGCAGACGTGCAACAAACATGTGCTGAATAAAGGAATGAACAGAGGAAGGAAGGACATTTTGGTTCCTTGGTGTGAGCAGTAGATGCCCAGTGCCTGAGCGTCCTAATTTTCCTTGGGAAACCATCCTCTCTCATCCTCAGCCTGGTGATGAAGACAATCAGGTGATGAAGTCAGTCAACAAAGCACCTCCCTCGGCCACAGGGTTTGGGGTGGGGACAGGCAGGGAACCCCATTCAGAGCCAAGTGGGCACCCTCTCATCCTCCACTGGATTGGATATTGCAAGAACATGGGACTGAATCTGCTGCAGCCACTGTTAGGGAGACAACAGTGAGCTGATCCAGACAGGGCAGAGCTGAGAGGTGGACTCCTTCTGAGGCCTAAACCATGCTGCCCTTGAGTAAGCCCTGCCTGTGGCTGTGAGTTATATGACCCAAAAAACGCCCTTTTCACTTACTCTGGTTTGGGTTGTGTTTCCTGTTCCTTATAATTAAAGCAACCCTTAGAATTCCTATATTGTTGACCTTTATTTTTATGACGAACAGTCAATGGAGGTGAGATAACTGAGCACTGAGCTGCATGACACCAGGTGACTGCACCGGGGCCTGGGTCTCCTTCTCAACCTTTCAGGGGCTGGGGACCCCAATCAGAAAGAGAAAAAAGGGACAACCTTGTAATTCCTGAACCCTCAAGTTATTTTGTACACCTGCTTACTATCACCATCCCAGGCCAAAGACGGAACACTAAGGAAGTTTAAAGGGCTCACAAACAAGTAAACCCTAACAGCTGTACCATGAAACATCTATTCTGTACCATCCGGTCCACTGAACTCTACTAGTCACAAAACATTCACAAACACAGACGACCCTGTTGTGACCAGGAACCATCAGCTCCATTATGTGGTAAAATTGCATGAAGAGGTTAATGGAGGCAAAAGGCTTGATCCAGTAAGGTCCCATAGTGAGCCAAGGGTCAAGTTGAGACATGAAGCAACAGAACTGGTTTCTGCCACATCTGACCTTCATGGGCAGAGTACCATTGAGCCTGGATTGTGTACTTCCTCTTGATACCATGCGTAGTTGTAACACATACCTATCTTACCAGATATGTCTCTATTTCAGCAACATTAGAGCACAGTTTATAACAAGTTACCTGGCTGCTATATTACCCGAAAAGGAAATGGGAAGGAATGTGCAATCACTGTCAGAGAGAAGGTGGGAGAGGAAAAGCTCTGTGCCCTGAGCTTGGTTTTGTTCCTCAACAACAGACTCAGCAAGCCCAGCACCAATCCATGGGACCAGAGCACAACACATGAGGGAAGAACACTTCATCCATACCTGGCAGGTAAAAGTCTTAGAGACGAACTAATCACTCTTAGAAGATTTCCAAATAATGAGTCCAGAGTTCTGGTGGGTTAAGTCCTGCACCTCAGACGCTCAACTGGAAACATTGTTTCTTCCTCGTTTACGTTAGTGCTCAGCTCAGAGACAGTCAGCTGAGAACAGTATGATTCAGAAGCAGCAGTGGGCTTCAGGTCAGGAGATCTGGAGTTCTAATCCAGTGCTGACCCCATGAAAACTAAATTTAAACTGAGGCACATCATCACTCTGGGCCCCAGCTTCCTTAACTGCAAAAGGGATAAACAAAACCTGCACGTTTTACCTGACTGGATTGTGAGGATAAAACAGGACCTACCAGATTTGAAAAAATTAGGTGCACTGCAAATATTAAATGGTGTTGGGACTCTGATGATAAAACATTCTCTAGGGATGCTCAGTGGTTCCCCTAACTACCTTGCACAAGAAGGAGACGGCCTGTTTGCCAGGGCACTGCCTGGCACCTGTGCATGGTGTGTGAGCAGCCTACATATGAACCCAGACCCAGCTGTCCACAGCTACAGCAACCACAATCCCCAGCTTTTCTAGGACAGACACACTTCTTTCTATGTAGTTTGGTGTTTCCTTTCAAAATAGGAATGTATAACTAGATGTATTAAATGTATAGCTGAATATTTTCTGTGCCTTTATAAAACTATTCCAGTATATGTATTCACACATCAGAAGCTGACTACCCTCACTCGCTCACAGAACCCCTGCCTCGGCCAGTCTGCACCCAACGCCCAGGGCTCTCCTCAGCGATACACTGAGCACCTACCCACTCTGGCTGCTCATTAGGCTCTTCTGGCTTGTGGTCAGAGGCCACAGGCGGGGGCGAGTAATCCTTCACAGGAGTGGTGAATTCCACGGGTCCTGTTCCTGGCAACGGGAGTTTCAGCAGTGGGTAGCTGGGATGAACAAAAAGGAGAGAAGAGTTAGGACAGGATGGCAGGTAGAAGCTGTGCTGAGGTAACAGTGACGCAGGAACCACTGCAGTTGCACTAAATTCTCCATGCTAGGAGAACTGTACAAATGTACAAAATATTAGTCATAAAACTTCAGAGCTAGGAGAAAACTCAGAAGCCTCTAGATCAGAATTTTTCAAACTCCCTTTTAGTCACAGGAAGCCCAATGCATAAACTACTTTATGAAGTAGTTTACTGGTTGAGTATTTTTGGAGATGTAATAAAGGCAAGATGCTACACAAACTTCTGGCCAAATTAAACATAAGTAAGACAACAAGAAAAAACTGGGGAGGGACTTCCCGGCTGGTCCAGTGGTTAAGACTCTGTGCTTCCACTGCAGGGGGTACGGGTTCGATCCCTGGTTGGGAAGTTCTACATGCCGTGCGGTGCAGCCAAAAAAAAAAACCAAAAAACTGGGAAAACAAAAGAATCCTGATTCAGACTGCTGAGCAAATTGCTCGAATTTAAAGGGACAGACCATGGAAACTGTGCATAACACATTGAGGGTGTGGTTTACACTAGATCCGGCTGAACAGAAGTCAATGGACCCACCACATGCAAAGGAAAAAGCTTGACCTAACATCAAAAAGTTGGCAAATGGATGTGCTTTTGTTTCAGGTTTCACTTCTTTTAAAACTTTTTCTTCAGGACTTCCCTGGTGGTCCAGTGGTTAAGACTCCACGCTTCTACTGAAGGGGGGGAAGTTCTGATCCCTGGTCGGGCAAGTTCCGCATGTGGCATGGTGCGGGGGAAAAAAAAACTGTACTACATAAAAGTTAATTCTCAGTTTTAAATAAAACTGAGAATTAACTTTTATGTAGTACAATGCACAAATCTTAAGTATAGGGACTTCCCTGGTGGCGCAGTGGTTAAGAATCACGCCTGCCAATGCAGGGGACATGGGTTCGAGCCCCGGTCCGGGAAGATCCCACATGCCACGTAGCAACTAAGCCCGTGCGCCACAACTACTGAGCCTGTGCTCTAGAGCCTGCGAACCACAACTACTGAGCCCGCATGCCACAACTACTGAAGCCTGCATGCTTAGAACCCGTGCTCTGCAACAAGAGAAGCCACCACAATGGGAAGCCTGCACACTGCAACAAAGAGTAGCCCCCACTCTCTGCAACTAGAGAAAGCCTGTGCACAGCAACAAAGACCCAACACAGCCAAAAATAAAATATAAATTTTTAAAAAATCTTAAGTATATAGCGCAATGAATTTTTACATATGCCTACACCTGTGTAACCCCTACCTAGATCAAGCTATAAAATATCTCCAGAACCTCAAAAGGTGGCCTTGTGCCCTGGCCCAGTGAAGAGTATCCACTACCATAAACCGCTATTAGAATTCCTATCACCATAAATTAGTTTTGCCTGTTTCTGATGGCATATAACTGAAATCATCCATTCCACTGTGTATTCTTTTGTGACTGGCTGTTTTCACTTAAATTACATCTACTAGAGTCATCCACAGTGACACATGTAGCAGATCATTCTTTTCCATATGTACTATTCTGCTGAATGAACATATTACAGTGCATCTGTCTATGAGGAACATTTGGCTGTTCCCAGCTGAAGCTATTAAGAATAGAGCTATTGTGGTACTTTTTATGTATACACTCATTTTTACGTAAGCACTCATTTCTGTTGGGTATATTCATAGAATGAAATTTCTGGGTTGTGGAGTATACATATATTTAGCTTTGTAGATAACACCAGTTTTCCAAAGTAGTTATTTAAATTTATGTTCCCACCAGCAGTGTGATAGGAGTTTCAACTGCTTCAAATCCTTGTCACCTCTTGATATTGTCAGTCCAATTAATTTTAACCATTTAGAGGAGGAGGTAGTGGTATCTCTCTGTGGTTTTAATATACAGCAAATAGTGTCGAAAACTCTTTCATATGCTTATTAGCCATTTGGATAAATCCTCTTTTGTGAAGCACCTCTTCAACTCTTTAACTGTTTTTAATTGAGTCGTCTTTATATATTCTAGATATGAGTCTGCAGTCCTTTATACAGCTATAAATTTCCCTCTTAGTTCTACTTTCGCTGCATCCCATAAGTTTTGGTATATTGTGTTTTTGTTTTCATCATCTCAAGCTATTTTCTATTTTCCTTTCTGATTTCTTCGACCCACTGGTTGTTTTAGAATATACTGTTTAATTTCCATGTATTTGTGAATTTTCCTTCTATTATTTTTTTAATTAAATTTACTTATTTTACTTATTTATTTTTGGCTGCGTTGGGTCTTCGTTGCTATGCGCAGGCTTTCTCTAGTTGCAGCGAGTGGGGGCTACTCTTCAGTGCAGTGCACAGGCTTCTCATCACGGTGGCTTCTCGTTGCAGAGCACGGGCTCTAGGCGCGCAGGCTTCAATAGTTGTGGCATGCGGGCTCTAGAGCACAGGCTCAGTAGCTGTGGCGAACAGGCTTAGTTGCTCCGCGGCATGTAGGATCTTCCTGGACCAGGGCTCGAATCCGTGTCCCCTGCATTGGCTGGTGGATTCTTAACCACTGCACTGCCAGGGAAGCCTTCCTTCTATTATTGATTTTTAGTTTCATTCTGCTGTTATTGGAAAAAAATCCTCTGTATGATTTAGATCTTTTTAAATTTACTGAGACTTGTTTGTGGCCTAACATATGGTCTATCCTGGAGAATGTTTATGTTCACTTGAGAAGAATGTGTATTGGTCTAGCTGGTTTCAGTGTTGCTCAAGTCCTCCATTTCCTTATTGATCTTGTCTGCTTGTAGCCATCATTGAAAGTGGAGTATTGAAGACTTCAACTATTATTGGAGAACTGTGTATTTCTCCTTTCAATTCTGTCAATTTTTGCTTCATATATTTTAGGGATATGTTGTTAGGTGTTATATGTTTATAATGGTTATATCCTCTTGTTGTACTGAAGCATTTATCAATATATAATGTCCTTCTTTGTCTCTATTTTTTTTTTTTTTTTTTTTGCGGTACGTGGGCCTCTCACTGTTGTGGCCTCTCCCGTTGCGGAGCACAGGCTCCGGACGCGCAGGCTCAGCGGCCATGGCTCACGGGCCCAGCCGCTCCGCGGCATGTGGGATCTTCCCAGATTGGGGCACGAACGCGTGTCCCCTGCATCAGCAGGCGGACTCTCAACCACTGCACCACCAGGGAAGCCCTCTAATAAATTTTTTAATGTTGTCTGATAATAATATAGCCACTTCAGCTCTCTTTTGGGTACCGTTTAGCATGGAATATCATTTTCCACCCTTTTACTTTCAACCTCTTTGTGTTCTTATATCTAAAGTGTAGTGTATATCTAAGGACCTCCCTGGTGGTCCAGATGGTTAAGACTCCGTGCTTCCAGTGTAGGGGGTATGGGTTCAATCCCTGGTCAGGGGACTGAGGCTCCACATGCTGCGGGGTGCAGCCAAAAAAAAAGGTAAAAAAAAAAAAAAGCATAGTGTGTATCTAAAGTGCCTTGTAGACAGCATGCAGATAAAGTCTTTGTAAAATCAAATTGGCCATTCTTTTAATAGGAGGGTTTGATCCACTTACATTTAATGTGATTACTGACAAGGAAGGATTTATTTATGCCATTTAGCTATTTGTTTTGTTTGTCTTACATGATTTTTGTTCCTCAGTTCCTCCATTGCTGCCCTTTTTTTAAGGGGGGGGTATTGATTTTTTGTAATGTGCCACTTTGATTCCCTTCTACTTTCCTGTTCTACATATTTTAAAAGTTATTTTCTGGGCTTCCCTGGTGGCACAGTGGTTGAGAGTCCGCCTGCCGATGCGGACGTGGATTCGTGCCCCGGTCCGGAAAGATCCCACATGCCACGGAGCGGCTGGGCCCGTGAGCCATGGCTGCTGAGCCTCCATGTCCGGAGCCTGTGCTCCGCAATGGGAGAGGCCACAGCAGTGAGAGGCCTGCGTACCACAAAAAAAAAAAAAAAAAAGTTATTTTCTTAGTGGCCACCTTGGGAATTCTATTATTAACAACTTATAACAAGCTAGGTTGAATAGAGGGGTTCAACAGCAAATCTGAGCAGAGAAGAAAGGAGCGGCAATCATGAAAATAAGACAACTGAAATCATGCAGTCTGAGCAGCTTAGCTTCAACAGGATACACACACTCTGTCTATACATCCTTGTCGCTCCCCTTTTATATTGTTGTCACAGATTACACTTTACATTTAATCTCTTTAATGTAGATTTTAAATTACTGTTTAATACACTTGCCCTTTAAATCACAGAAGACAAAGAAAGAAATTACAAACCAAACCAACAATACTGATTATCTTTACTAGTGTTTATTTTTTCTTATGGCTTCAAATTGCAGGGTAGGTGCACTGGTAACAATTTCCCTCAGCTTTTGTTTATCTGGAAATGTCTTAACTTCTCCTTCATTACTGTAGTTTTTTTTTTTTTTCAATTTGAAAGCAGTCACTTTAATTTTTTTTTTTTTTCCCCACACCCTGCCACATACAGTATCTTAGTTCCCTGACCAGAGATCAAACCTGTGCCCCGGGGCTTCCCTGGTGGCGCAGTGGTTAAGAACCTGCCTGCCAACGCAGGGGACATGGGTTTGAGCCCTGGTCCGGGAAGATCCCACATGCTGCAGAGCAACTAAGCCCATGCGCCACAACTACCGATCCTGTGCTCTAGAGCTCACGAGCCACAACTAATGAGCCCACGCGCCACAACTACTGAAGCCCGCGCGCCTAGAGCCCGTGCTCCGCAACAAGAGAAGCCACTGCAATGAGAAGCCCATGTACCGCAATGAAGAGTGGCCCCCGCTCGCTGCAACTAGAGAAAGCCCACGCGCAGCAACGAAGACCCAACACAGTCAAAAATAAATAAATAAAATTTAAAAATATTAAAAAAAAACAAAACAAAAACCTGTGCCCCCTGTGTTGGAAGCACAGTCTTAACCACTGGATCGCCAGGGAAGTCCCTGAAGTATAGTTT